TCTCGTTGTGGGTGCACTGGCTTGTGGTGTCTCCCCGTGCGGTTTCAGCATGAAAATGGCCCTGGCTGCCTTTCATGCAGTGATGCTGTTGGACATTGCATGCGGAGCTCAGACATCACAGTCTGTCTCTCGAGGTCAGAGTGGAGCACAGTAATTTCTGGCAAGTTCATTGAGATGAAGCTTTTAGTGCAATGAGTTTGTTAATCTAGTTCTGCGCGTCCTGTGTTTATCCCATCTTGAGGGGTAAAAATGCTTGTTCACTTAAAAGCAGAAGGATCTCTGTCTTGCCACAGTATCCAAGCAGGTTCTGCTTGACCAACACCACAGTGCGTGGGGAGGCAAGTTTGAGCTTGCCCTCGATGTGGAAGCTGGTCTCTGGTATATCCTGATTATGTTCATGGTGCCTTTGGGGACATCCTGCAGTGTGGCGTTGCAGAGCCAGGTGAATTTAGGGTTCCCTACCTTGTCCCATAACTTAGGCACTTACATTTAGCATCAGGACCTCTGTTCAGTATTAATATTAGATCCCCATGATATGTGGCAATTGAGAAATTTTGTTTCTGTAATAGTGCTGAGCCTCATTATGAAGAATCAGGTGAGGCATAGCGATAAGCATTCAAATAAAAAGGCAATATGGACAGTACCAATTTAAGTCTTTTTGATTCAAGAGGGACCAGGAAGGTTGCTTTGCCTCAGCTGTGTGTCGTGTGCTGTTCTTTAGCAAGGTGCTGAACGCTGTCGTTGCTTGCTCCCATGGCAGGTCGATGCTCCCCATGCCACCGGCAGTTGGACCAGCCTGGACAAGCTTTGAGTTGGACGTGGAAGATGGGGAAGTCGAAAACTATGAGGTTGGTCTGGGAACCACAGATACATTTGAGAGACTCAGAGGATTCTCAAAAATGATTTATACTTTTCTTTCAGTCCTGCTTTTGCCCTTGAAATAAAGGTAAAGACTCTGAGGGCAGAATTCAGAAAAACCCATACTTTCAAGTTTTTTGCTTAGTTTTTTTATCAGATTCCACCCTTCTAGGCCAGTGATCATTATATTGAATCAGCTTTATGTTCTGCATACTACTCCTCTCCCGTGGAATTTTAATTATCGTACAGAAGTAAAGCATATACAGAAGAACAAAGTTACGTTTTTGTGCTGTGATGACTTTGCAGAATAGTGTTAACACAGAACAGTAAAATAAATCAAGCTGATTGCTGGTACTGCTTTAGTACCTTCACTTCTTCAAGGGTCCTCAGGAAGAGCTCAAAGTGAAAACTCAAAAGGAATCATCAGCTACCCTTCATTTTGCATCTCTTTGCTTTCTATCAAGTTGATACTGATATTTTTCTCAGTATCATCATGAAGCAGCTCAAATCATATACACCATGGAGAGCAGATTCATCACCAGAGGGGCAATTAGTTGTTATGAGTAGTGCATAAAAAATGGGCATGAGATTTTAGCAAAAAAAGGTCTGAGTTTGGTGCCATGTTTCATTTTCCAGAGTTCGGGATAACAGGTCCCTGTCTCTGTTCAGGTGACTAGTAAAAATCAGACATTGTCCCTTTAAACACTTTGAGGGCCAGACTCCTTGTATATTTTCCTTGGAAATAAATCTGGCAGCAAATTCTCCCCATTAATGTTAATTTCAAAGTTAATTTCACTGTTAATTGCACTGTTAATTGTTAATTGCACTGTTAATTTCAAAGTGCCCTCAGAAGTAAAGGACTAATCAAGGAGCCAGAAGAGTAGTTAAAAAATGTGTAATGGAGGTTTTGAAATCACAGCGAGTACATCTGGAATAACTCAGAGAAGTAGCTGAGCTCCAGAAGGCTTTGCATGCAGCTCGTTCTGTAAGGGGAGAGGCCACATCCTGACTGCTTCCTGACGGAGTGTCTTGCTCTGCTGGGTGGGATGAAGACGTGTTGCTGTAGAAGCAGCGATTCCGGCTCAACTCCCCATGAGTGATTTTTAAAACGATTTTTTGTACAACCTACATGTCTTGCAGGCACTGCTGAACTTGGCAGAACGTCTGGGAGAGGCCAAACCCCGAGGGCTGACCAAGGCAGATATTGAGCAGCTCCCATCGTACAGGTTCAACCCCAATAACCACCAGTCGGAACAGACCTTGTAAGTACATACCTCAAAGCTGAACAGTTTATGTGACTTTATTATAATTTCTTCCAAATACACACCCACTTAGGCCAAAAATGTATATGGACATACTTTAAAAGCAGTCATGTCTCAGTAAAGATATTTTTTTTCTTAGACAGCTAACCAAATACAATACTGCGCATCCTAACCTTAAAATTTCTATCTTGTCTCACTTCATTTGGAGATGTTCCAATCTAGTAGCTCAGAATTTCAGAAAACTAAGTTAAAGAAAGGTTTCTTTTTAAGTTTAGTTCAGCATATTAGACATTGAGGAGGCATTGTCCACTTGGAATTAAGCCCATGTTAAAATAGCTTCAAGTGTTTACTTTTGAAGTGCTTCTGAAAAACTTTAGTGGTTTAAGGGTGTCTTTTCTAATTCGTAAAAACCTTTAACTTTGAAAGGTCTGCATACCAAGTGGAAAATGCACTGTAGGTGGAAGGATGGCCAAATGACTTACTGCCAAATGCTGTCTTAATATCTATAATTAAGATTTTTTTTTTAATCCAGTTACAGTTATCTTCAGCATGGTTTTTAACATAAATAGGGAGAGGGAATCAATTTTGTAATCAAAATGAATTCTGTTTTTTTTTTGTTTCTTTTAAGTTGTCAGCCATTTTGCCTGGAGGAAAAATATTTTTAATAAAACATCAGTGGAAAAAGGGGGTAATTTCTCACTTAAAAAGTGTGTGAACTTACTTTAACCAATTTGTTTTGGGAAATGCTCAACATTACTTACTTTTGACAGGAAGGCAGACCTGAAAGGAAAGTGTTACGGGTTTATCCTGCCAGTGTATACACCAGCATGTGTTTGCTCTGTTGATGAGCTCTGTGCCTTTACTTGCTTTATAGTTTGAAATCACAGCAAGAAGCAGAAAGGCAATTTTCAGTGCACACTGCTACAGTAGAGATTTCCCACCATAAATACTCACTGCAGGAGCTACCACAGGGGTAGACCTGCTACCCCATTGCAGACATAACCTTACGGGCTGATGATGGAATACAAACGTGTTGTTCTTAAAAAGCAGATTTCTTTAAATTTTGCCATCTTATTTTTTTAGGTGTGTAGTGTGCATGTGTGATTTTGAGTCAAGGCAGCTACTTAGAGTCTTGCCCTGTAACCACGAGTTCCATGCCAAGTGTGTCGATAAATGGCTTAAGGTAAAAAATAAATAAAAACAGGGAATTTATTACACAGTTTGGGGGGGCTGGGGGTTTTATTGGTTTGGGGAGTTTTGGGGGGTAGTGTTGTTATTTTGCTACGGCATATCCTCTTCTGTTCCCTTCTTGCAATACTCAGCCTAGAAAGGCCCGCAGGCCCAAAGCGTTTCCTGCTCCCATTATTTCCTAACACTTTAAATTAGAGGGAATGTTTTTAAAGAAACCTTTAGCATAAGGAGAAGGAGGGCGGGTTTTCGGCTGTTGGATCGTGTTGCTTTCTGTTTCTGCAAAGCAATGCTAACAAGCTCAGGTTTATAGCAACACAGGGAGCTCAAACTGGGGTTTGTCTGAACACAGTGCTTTAACACTGTGTTGCCTGGCCTGCTTAGCAAAACTGGGTGTTGAAACGGAGGTTTTGGGGCATATCAAATGTGTGTGCGCATACGTGTGGATAATGCATGCAAAGTTTGTGTATATATGTGTGCATATGCGTGCACGCCTATATGTGTGTGTGTGTATGCATACGGGCGCGTGCATATGCATGCATTTATCTACATTATAAATTATACAGCTAGGATTTACCGTGTGGTTATGGGCTTACACATACTCCGTGTGCCAGGCTCTTTCTAAGCAATTTATGAGGAGGGCAAGGAAAAAAAGAGACCTAGAAGCAGGACAGCCCGGCAGGATCAGAGAGTATCAGCAGAAGGGAAGGACAGGTAATGTGATTAAGCAGAAGGTGATAAACAGCATTCTCTGCAAGCGATGTTATGAAGAGCTGGTAATAACAGGGTATCGATTCCTGTTTTGTCTCATTTTTTTTCAATATTTTATTGTATGCAGATTTAGGCTTGTCTGTGTGTAGTCTGTTGTGTAGAGTAACTGAAATCACAGTGATCCTGTTGGGGGAAAAAGAAAAGGGTACAGTTCACAGATTTATGGATAGTTTCTCATATTTTTTTTGAAAAAAAAATGCCAGCCAAAAAAATATTCCCCCATCCTCCAAAAATACCCCCCCAAAACTGACAGCCATCTGTCGAAAGCTGTTGTTTTTTTGTCTTGAGTGTTTGCTTATGAATGTATTGCTACAGAGGACATGTATTTTTACATGGGAGAAATCCGCATTAAAGTCCTACACAAAGTGGTAAGTTGATATCTACGGCATTATGTTGACTACCCCGTTTCCAGGAATGATCGTGACGTTTTTCAAGAGTGGGATCCGAGGCAGCCTCCGGGCTACAGTGCCCAGCACAGGCAAGCACAGAGCCTGCAGGTTGTCTCTGGACATCACTCTTCATGTGCAGCGTCTCAGGGCTAGACCGTTGTCCTGCGTTACCCTGGATCCACATAACGTATCTGAAAATCAGCAAGAGGAAGGAAAACGTCTGCTTTTCTTTTAATTCATAAAGTTGCATGTCTCAGGTTGCCCGTGAACCTGAACCAGTGCATTTACATCATGCGTGCAGAGCTACACAATGTCATGTCTTACTGAAATACAGATGATTCTGCTTACAAAGCGGGAAAAAAGTTCCTGGGTAGCTACATCCAGTCTATTGTAGTTAATGCCCTTACAGTTAAAGCTGGTATTTGCAAACCTGAACATGTTGATAACTGGAAGACATATATATGTGTGTGTGCGCGTGCGTGTATATATGCATTTTTTTTAATACATTCCTTTATGCATTTGACAACTTGCTTCACAAGTCGACAGTGTGACTGCATTTTCAGTGCAGCCATGCGCTCATTTTGCTGGGAAGCGGCTCTCCTGGCCTCACCAGCTCCCCTCTCTGTGCGAGTGCAGGATTTCTCCACCCGCTTCCCTGTTTCTGAGCGCATTCCCGCCTCGTGGAGAAGTTTGCAGCAATGGGCGCTTTCCACACCTCGAATCAACGCCGGCGGTGCCATGTTACATGGCCCTCCCGCTGTGCACCAAAGCGTCCCCATGGAGGTCAGGAAGGGGAATGGATCTCTTAAAAACACTAAGAAATCTTAAACAGATTTGATTGTAGTGGCATCTTATTTAAAAAAAAAAAAACGGTACTGAAGTTTGCATGGCAAACTTCATTTCGTCCTGGCATAGAGAATTTGTTTCAGTAGTTTCCTATCAGAAATTTTTATTTTAGTAATATATTTGCTGAATGCTCTGTTTCATCCTATAAATGGCAAATGCTGGAGTATTTATCTTGAAAGATACTTGTTCTTTCATCAGTTTGTTTCAGTTGGAAGAATTTGTGTTTTTATTTTTAAAAATGCATTAGCTGAATTATGTGTAGGATAGTACAACTAGAAAATAGAGACCAAGTTGCAGGATTGTCATCATGTAGTTATGAAATCACTAGTGAAAGAGCAAGGAATATTTTTTGAATCGATTCTCCCATCCATACTTCCCCAATTCTGTGAAGAAATAATAGCTATAATTAAACCTGCAAGACAATTGAAACATTAGTAATTGACAGAAAAAAAGAATAAATTTATACTTTAAAATTTATTTCAAATACACTTTTAAATGTGCCCTAAAATATTCTAACCTACATTAGCATAAGATGTTTCCAGTAGTAACAAATGTTCCTTTAACTGGCGCTTGTAGTTTGGGTTGAAAGTAGGTGTCGGTGGTTTCTGAAGCTGGACCAGCTGCTCTGTGATTCTTGATGAGCTTAGTAATATACGAGGGAAAAGTTTGTCTGCCCTAGGGAAGTCGTGAGTTTGGTTGATCCCAAAATGTTGAATTCTGAAGCAGGGGTTTTGAGGCAGGGATGATTTAACCTTCTCCCTTTGCTTTGAGGAAGGAACGTTTTTATCTGCAGCGTGGGCTGTTTGGCTTGAGCCCTTTCTCTGTAAAAACGTAAAATGTTGCAAAATGCGAAGATTCCCATGCTTGGGAAGAGGCATATTTCCTGGGAATGCGCTCCCAGCGGCTCGCAGAGCCTGGGCTCTGGCGTCTCCTGCCTTCCAGGGACTGTGGAAGAGGTGCAGGGGACGTGTCTTTAGGGTGCCGTACTCAGGAGCTGAACGGGGAGCTCCTGCTGTGTGTTCCTGAGTGTCGAACACCCATTTAGACAGCCCATCTTCCCCATGTGAGCCTTCTGCTAAAGAGGTCAGATGATGTTAAGGTTTTATTAAAGATTTTACCAAAACCCTTTCTCCCTGGTCTGCTTCTGGCTTTGTCCTATTGCTGCTCCCATTGATGTTTGCGGACAAAATGCCCGTAATTTCTGTCATCATTTTTCCAATCAACCTCTCGAGTGACTCTGTCGTGGTAGCGAACCGCAGCAGGGGAGGGCGCAGGGGCCGTCCCCTGGCCGCGCTGTCCATGGTGCAAACCCTGCTCTACCTCTCATTCCGCAGGCCAACCGGACGTGCCCCATCTGCCGGGCGGATGCATCAGAGGTGCACCGGGATTCGGAGTGACCACAGGAGCATCCCGGCCCTCCTGCCGCGCAGCGGGGCTGACGCACCTGTTTTGCACTGTGTGACTTAACCGATTATAGAGCTTATAATAGCCAGTCTTCACAGTTATGGGATTGTTATACTAACAGTGTGATTGGAACTCCAAAGACAACTTTTTTTTTTCCCCCCCCTTAACTTTGTGTGTGCACTAACATTCCCTGGTGTTTGTGTGACCATTCCGAGTGTTGCTGCAAGATTACAGTGGATGTGATCTTTTAGCATGTGCTTTTGTATAAAAGAAAAAGGAAAAGAAAAAAAAGGCGGGGGCGGGTAGCTCCAGACCATATAGCAGTCTACCTTACGCAGAGCCTTGGGACGCTCTGCGTGGAGGTGGCAGTGCGAGTGGCACGTGCTGGGGCGAGGCTGTGCGTGTGCGCGGGAGCCCGGATGCCAGTGTGCACCGAGGACGTGCGCGTGTCGTATTAATTATGCTGCAATGTGTAATCCTGTGTGTTATTTAAGCAGTACTAGCACTGGACACTGGTTTCTTTCCTTGTGCTTGCAGTTGCACACTCAGTGCGACAGGTGCAGCACTTACAGACGTTTAGTATTCCCCCCGCCCCCAGCCCCGACATAGCCACTGGTTCAAAGAGCTTTTTTCCCTGTTGTTGTCCTGACAGCCGCAGCTCTTCCCCTGCCCTGGAGGCTTCCTAGTGCACCAGTAGCGAGGGCATTGATTGCTCACGCACGAGGACCCCTTTTTCTGAAGCATACCTTACGAAATCTGGATTTCACAACGGCAAATCTATGAGTAATTCTGTGAGTGCCAGGATGCAACATGGCACAAATCAGTGAGCAATATTAGCACTTTGCGTTGGTGACCGCAACACCGATGCCCCTGGTTTTAGTCTTTTTTTCCCGGTGGCTCTCACTTGTGTTCGGCTCGTTCCGGACTTCTGAAGATGCTGCATTTTGGAGCTCCCTTGGCACATTTTGGAGCTCCTTGGCCGCGGGCAGGGCGCCAGGGGAGGTGTTTCTGCAGTAGCCCTCGGCCTTGGCCGAGCACGGCACCCACCAGCCTGCAAACATCGACCTGAATCACTTACTTACATTCTTTGTCATTTACAGGGGAGTTTGTATATGGTTAAAACTACTTGTAAGGGATTACAATTTTATTCCTGCGACTTCCCGAATAAAATAAAATTGTTAGCATTTTCTCAGAGAAGTAGAACTTCTGATTTCTTTGCTGTTGGTGTCATTGCACCATGAAATGGGATGTTTTCTGTTCACTTGCTGAAGGTTTCAGTTGTCCTGGGGTGATGCTTCTTACTTTCCTAGTGTCACAATCTATATAATATGAACAAGAAACAAGAAATTGATTTTCACAGTAAGGTTTCCAGAGTCATTTGACTTCTTTGGTAGAAAAAGAAAATTGAAGCATCTTCCAGAACAGAAAAAGCACTGAAATGGGAAGTAAGCTTCATTCAGTCACCCTCTGGATGATTTTAGTTGTGGTGTTGAAGAAATAAGCTTCATGTCAAACGTTCTAGACTGTTGAGACCTTCGAGATGTCCAAGTAGAGCAGTTAGGCCTCCCCACGCTGCAGTTATTCAGTGGATGCCCCTTTTCTGCATCAGAACATTTTCTCCTGAGGTCAGTGCCACGATTCGGGCTGCAGTAACCCAAGTGGCACAGTTAGCAATATTGCTGTGACTTGCTGCCAGTCTCAGCTTTAAGTTTGTTCTTTATCCTTTCCGATGCTGTTTTCATGCTGCTGGCCCTGCTTGGAAGGCTTTACAGAGCAGTCTCTGCAGGTGGCTCCAGTAAAATAAAAGCACAATTTTGCCGTTGTCCTGGACACTCCTCCTTCTTTTGGTCTTGCAAGTGCTTCTCAGAAACAGTCTGATTTGTTCATAACCGTCAGATAAACTGCAAGATGAAGAAAAACACACCACTACATCAACTTCAAAATACTGGATTTTCCTCTCTCTTAAAGAATGGACTTCACAGCAACGCCAAACAGGTTAAATTGCATATAGTAAAATTTATTTTTTTAACAAAATCATTTTGTTTAAAAATACATATGCCACATATGTCTTACAAGAGCTGGGGTCTTTTTTATAGCTTCAAAGCAAGTTTCTACCTGTACAGATGTTGGCGGTGCAAACACTGCCGTGCTCAGTGTGGACGGGGGAGAGGAGCCTAGAAAGTCATCCATTAATGTAAGTTTTTCTAGGTGCCCGACACTTTCATATGATAATTATTATTATATCTGTGCCAAGTTCTACTATGTAAGTCTAATTCTGCCTGCCTATTTTCAAAAAAAAGAGAAAAAAAAAAAGGAAAAAGCCTTTCATCATACGCCACTTTGTGCAGGCTCTTGAATGTGATTTTTTTACAGCTGTTAACACATCATGTAATACTGGGGATGAGATTCACTTTTTTTTAATTTTGTTTTACTTCTGAAAAAATATTTTTGACTGAGTTATCTTTAGGCCTTTATAAAAACTGTGTTTTTCCTTTGGTACATTCAGTTACCTCATTTTGCTACCTGTGTTTCAGATTCTCTGATGATTGTGAAAGCTTTTGGGTTTTGTTGGAATTGTATTTTGTCAAGCGTTTTCTTTAAATCATAATCTATTGTATCATTTAACATGTAGTTTCAAAGGTATTATAAATATCTGTAACCAAATCATTTGAAGGCTTTATAAATTTTTAACAAGATTTGTACATTTTTTATGAGAGTTACTAGTAATGCTTTACTAAGTAGTGCAATGAATTTTTATTTTTAATCCCTGTGCCCACTTTTGGAGTTGAGAGAGTTGTTCAGTAATAAATGTATGATGTTATACTTGCAAAATCCTGTCTTGCTCTTTTCTCTAGAAAGGGGAACTCTGACTGCCTCCATCATTCCACATTTCCGTTCCTTGAGCCCCAGCACTAGCTACTGGCAGAGCAGGGTTGGGAGGGCTCTATAGATTCTTAGCTAAAAGAAAAAAGAAAAAAAAAGGTAACAGCGCTACTGTTAGAGACCCTGAAATGGTAGGATTTAACAATGGTTTATTGTCTTGAATAATAGCATGGCATTTTTGAAGGTATAAAGTGGCTGCAATGCCTGGCACTCAAGGCATACCTCAGTGATCAGCTCTCTAAAGACGTCCCTTGCCCTTAAATGAATCAAAAGGAGAATTTTCTTGGCCTGCTGATGTGATGCATTTTGCAGGTGTGAGAATGAATCTCTGAGATGATAGTGCAAAACAGGAACTGCAAGGAATTTTATTAGCCCGGTTTGCACAAGAAACTAGTGGTGAAACAAAAAGAACAGAGCTAACCCTGGAGGCATTTTTCACCAGGAAGGCAGCTGTCAGAAGCCACTGTAGCCGTGCTCACGCATGCGGCTGCTGCATACACCAAGCATGTTTGTGTCTGTGAAGTAATCTATGTCACTCATGTATTTGTCTTTTGCCCTCTTGCTCCATGTCGTTGTCAAAGCAAGGTTCTTTCTTACCCAAGTTTATAGCCTTCTCGGCTCCGGGCCCTCTTCCGCTTGCTGCTGATGGCAGGTGAGACAGACTTGCCAGGACCAGGCGCAGACTGCGATGGTGGGATAGGAGGGTGAAGCTGAAAAGTGAAACAGGGCGGGGCGGGGGGGGGGGGGTTGCCGTGTGCTCCATGTGATGGGGTAAAATGCTGGAGTGAAGAACACCCCAGCCCTACCTTTCTGCGCAGCGCCTCTGTAGATTCACACTTACAAATACTGTGTCACAGGGAAATTCCTGAGCGAGGGAATCTGCAAATGTGAAATGTTTCCTTCCTGGCAACCTTGTGCTTACACACTGCTCAGAACCCCCGAGAAATGATTTGCAAAGCCGACAACTAGAGCTACTTCAGCACCATGGTGCAAGGTGAGGTGTTCAGCCGAACTGGTCATCATCAGCAAGCCAACATCTTCACCAGGCACCAAAGGGACCTGTGTGAGCGCCAGTATCCATAACGCCACATCTGTTACACCCCAGTGCCGATGGCTTTGGCCAAGCAACAAGTTCCAGGAGCTACCGCGTCCTTGGGCCACACTGACAAGAAGAGCAGCCCAGGACCTTCCTTCCTGGACCTCTGTACCCTCCACTCGCCTCCCTCTTCCACTGTGTGGAGTGCAACTCTCTTTGCCGGTCCGGGTTTACCACAGTGACTGTCTCGTGTCTTTGTAGCCCTCCTTCCTACAGCGCTGGGCACGATGCATCCCATGTGGCCTTTGGCTGTGGCGTCTCTCCACACCAGCCTCACAGGTAGCGCCCAGCGTGGCCCCGGCGCACTGCCCGCTGCACTCGTGGCCACTGCGGCCCACGGTGCAGCCCCATCCTATGAAGTGTCACACCGGCCACCAGGGTGCTGCCACCTCTAACAGATTCTCAGTCCTGATGGACAGCGGGGACATCTGGGCCACAGTGTGCATGATGTCACAAGGACAGTCAAACATTTCACTGTTTCTTGTAGCTGCTGTTCCTTAAACCTCTCCTCACTGTTGTTTCCTCGAGTGTTACCCTGACTCCATAGGAGAACATGTAGCAAGCAAGCACACAGCCCAGTAATTCTCCCGCTGGTGTATTTGGCTGCATTTGTTGTCTTTTGCAGGACACAACAGCACAGACAAGTACAACTGTGGATCCAACAGGAACTATAGCCACCAGCCAGACTCCTCACACCAAAACTTTCCTATTTTGCCTCCTTATCTTGCCTTGGTGTTTTATGTGGCTCCTCCTAAGAGTCCACACAGCAAGAGAACCCGAGCACTGGGCTGTTAGTGGCACCAGTGGCTGATGCTGCCGCAGTAGTTGGTAGTCCCTGTAGGTGTAGCCTTGGGAGTGAGCTGGGGTGCCACTCAGTGGCCATCCTTGGCTCCATAGAATCCCAGAATGGTTGAGGTTCGAAGGACCTCTAGAAATCATCTAGTTCAACCCTCCTGCTCCAGCACGGACACCTAGAGCATGTGGCACAGGGTGGCCATCATCTAGTCCAAGCCC